TTTGTTGCTGCTTGAACTGTCACTTGAGTAGAGGGGTTTCCTTCTTCGGTGTGAGGCTAAAGCGACAAAGCAACAGCCATTTCATGTCTTGTTGAACGATGTTGCAGCTCTCCTGATTCCTTGCTGGTAGTATGGCGCGAGGGAGTCTGGTTATTGGGCTGCATGAACCAAGTGGTCTTTGCTTCTTACCAGGAGAGGAACCTAGAACACATTCCAGATATGTCTTTGTCCGAAGTCCTAAATCCCACGCAGTATAAAAGGCATACGTAGCGGTGTGCTTCCATATTTCTTACGAGGAGCGGAAAGGTTGATCTTTGCTTGGACTTTGCTGTTGTTCTTGCTGCACATTATAGTTCTGATCGAATGTAATATCTGGGAGGGAGACCACTACTTTTTCGAAACATCAAAATGCAATTTTGTTGTATTGGCAGATTGTAAAAGCTCGCCGAGTTCTAGCCACTGATACGGGATGAAAGCAATTCTTATTGTGCTTGTTTGTGGTGAATGAGGATCTTCAATGAAAGCAGTTTAACGCCAGAAACAATCGAGTGTTTTGGCGTTTTTCTTGATTGCGAAGGGCTCAAGTGTCTCTTCCAATCAGAGCGGACGCAGAAGCAGATTCTGGTTTGGGGTTTGGGTGGTTCGCGTATACCAAAAATAAGCACAAGAAGTAGACGTCAGTATACAAACTACAGAAACCACCGTAAATACAGTTGGTTTCTAGACCTCGGAGAAAAAGCTTGACCGATCAGTTGGCAAGACTACTGGGGTGGATCATGCGGGGGTGGACCATACATATATATATATATACATACATGCATACACACATACATACCTACATATATATATATATGGTCCACCCGCATGTGCCCACTTTCCTGTTTAGCTGTACATAAAGGGAAAGTCAAAATCCAACTGTGCGGCAGCCCTTGCCTCCTGTGTAGCTTGTTCTTTCAATGTCTTTAACAGAAAGAGCCAGGCAGTGTTCCCTCGGAAATAGCACTGCCCCACCAACAGGCACCATTCCTGCAAAATCCAAAGTTCCAATATTTTCGTTGAGATGCCAGAACCACTTTTGGATTTTTGGAATTTGGGATTCTTGGAGATTTTTGGATTTCCGTGAGAAACCCAAAGCCCGAAACACCAAAAATCCGAAATCGGTTCTGGCATCTCCACCAAAGTACTGCATTTTTGGATGTTGCAGGAGTTCTGCTGTCAATGGCTGCGCGTGCGTCCTGCGCGCTCGCGTACAGGGACTTGTGTAAGGCTTTTCGATCTGGCGCAGATCATGAGGGGGCTTACATAATTTACACAGTTTTGTTCCAAAGGTGTTGTTCTCAAAAAGGTTTTAACTAGAGAATCGAGGGATATGTTTTTCAAGCGCGGTTGCTTCTAAGACGATGCAGGGTCATTCTGGTTTGCAAATATTCGCAACATGTTCATCTCTCCCCAAAGTCAGATAATGTTCACAATGCATGTGTTTATGCTGCTGCTACTGTAGATCAGATTGGGGTAATTTTTGGCTGCAAATTTAGCCAGCGAATGTGCAGGTAGCTTAGCATCTAACTGACAAGTCAAGTTTAACGATGAATCTGAACAGTCGTTCAGTGCATTAAGAATGCCGGATAGATAAGCAAACAGGACGTAGCTATTGAAAAAAGTAGTTTGCGAATCGTTTAGACAGCACAAAGCAATGCAACGTTGAGGAGGAGAGAGCAACATGCGCCGAATTCATATCATGACACATACTGCTGATAACATCAACAGCTATGCAAAAAGATAATATGAGTTCAAGTAATCTCGTTAATGACAGCACAGAGGAAATATCAGCTACATAAGTACATGACAGGACATATAAGCGAAGTCTGCCGCACAATTTAATTCTAATTTCAAGAATACGGCGTAATACTTTATAAACAACCAAGTCTTAAGCGTACGCGAGTGAAACATTGGCAAAGACAATTCAAACATGCAGCAATAAACACATGCTACCCAAGGAATAACTATGTCAAGCACGTCACATATTTGTTAAATTAGGCATTAGACATAGAGGCACAGCCCATCATTGAACAGCAGGTATAGGCCAGTGAATATGCAAGTAGCGCAACATCTAGCTGATATGCCAAGATTGATGCACAAATTGCTGGAACCGTTTTTAGATAATCATACGAGACGTAGCAGTGGAGTGAGTACTTGCTCATCGTTTAGATACTGGAAAACATGTTTCATCTGAGAAGAAGAGAGCAAATGCGAACATGTGCCGAATTCATATCATGACACATACTGTTCATAACGTCACCAGCATGTGTATGAGTTTGCTTCAATTTTGACGAACTATGCAGAAGGATAACACTAGTTAAAGTAATCCAGCTATTGACCAAGCACAGAGTACGTATCAGCTACATAAGTGCATATGAGCGAAGTCTAAGTAAACATGTGCAACAGAAAAGTTGCCGTACCATTTCGTTCTGATATTAAGCACTGAGAAATATTTTATCGGCAGTTAAGGTGCTAAGCATATATTGCAAGGATTGTTTCTTTAAGCATGAACCAATAAGCACGTGCTACCCGCGAAATAACTACGTCAAACGTGTCACATATTTGTTAGACTTGGTATTAAACATAGTGACATAGTCACATAACCCATCATGGAACATCAACTGGTCATGCAACATAAGGTTCCCGCAAATACTAGGCAAACACTAATCTGTGATGTGGCTTAACTGGCTCGATGATATGTGAATAGCGGCAAGCAAACATCCGTTCGATATTTGCGTAGAGACACCCACCCGGGCTGAAGTTTGCTTCCATACCCAAACACCATCCCTGCCCTTGTTAGCGAATCGCCTGGTTGTCTTGCTGCCTTAGTTGCAACATGAAAAACTGATTCGATTCGCTTGTGACACAGATGGTGATGTCAGTTGCGATGACGAGTATTGTGTTACTGGTGGTGCTAATACTCCTGTATTGTGTTACTGGTGTTGCTAATACTCCTGTCACTGTAGCTAGTATTGCCACATTATGAATGTCTGTTGCAAATCGCATGCAAATGAAATGCCGAGAACCCATGTCGTACACGCACGAATGTTGTTGTCACTCGTGCAGAGACGGCACTGTTGTGGCAGGGTAACACAAACATGACTGCGTTAGAATTGGCTCTTTTTCGCAATGTAATTGCCTAAAGCCAGCCCCTGTTGTTGGTAAAAGACGATGAGATTGGCATCCATCACTGGTTTGTAAGTTATGTATTTGTGTAGTTCGAAGAAAACCCAACATCCGGTTTTACGACAGCTTGTCTTACTACTCCGTGAGACGTGGGATCATGGTACATTCAAGCACATGTTCTTGTGCAAGCCCAATAATCACAAAAGGCACAAGTTGTAAGGGCGCGTCAATCCAGGTGGCAATATCAGGCAAAGTATAATCTGCTATAAGTGGCAAGCGAATCTGTGAAAACTTCTTCGAAATCTTTGGTTTACGTACGAGTAGCTATTGTTGATCTGCTTTTTGGTTTTACTTGAATCTTATCTCCCGTAATTACTTAAACTATACTTGTTTGAAGACTCCTTTAATGACGCTGATTGTGCTCTGAGTAGTGTACCCACCTCTCCCAAACACATGCTTGAAACTGCACCAGGGGTCCAGCATTGCCTAAACCTGCCAATTCGTTGAGTCATGCGGCGTGCAAGCTATATCACCAATCTGAAGAACCCCTGCATTGCTCGCACGTTTGCATCCTGACTCTGGGTCAACAACACCCGAAAATGTGGACACACGGACATAGCAAAAAGCATGCATGGACATACGTATGTGCGTATATACATCTGCTTTATGTATTTTGTATATAACTATACACATGTACATGTCCATGTACAATTGACATAGAATTATCTTTCTCTCTTGTGTGTGTTTTGTGGATGTCAGAAGGATCAGCAGACTCTCAGGACCCGCGATTATTGCAAACTCCCGCTATCTGTTTGTTGCTGTCTTGACCAGGCTTGCGTCGATCCGTCCCAGTATGGTACCAACCCGGGTTGAACGGATGCCAAAGTTGCGCTTTATAGTGGGATATCCTTTGTAGATTGTAGAGACCCCATGCCACGTACCTTCACAGCAGCTGCTGCCAAACAGCTCAGAGCGATACACAGGTGCCAGATTGTAATGACAACTCACTTATCCTCTGACTCGGCCTGTGCGCCAGCTTGTATGGTGATGCAGGTCAGGGTTCAGCATTGCTGCCAGCCTGTAGTTTGTCCCCCAATACTAGCGATTCATCAGCAGGTTCGCGTGCGGAAGTGAAGAGTCTGTTCCTTTGTTGAGAAACTTGTTGAATTGCGCGCCCAACTTCCGACTGGGCCCTAAGAACTGGCTGTCAGCGTGACCGCGCCTGGAACTGGCAACAACCTTTAAGACTTTAAGAGCAACCGGTTGCGTGGAAAGCCATGGTCAGGAGTAACAAGGCACGTGCGTGATGCTCACATTGCCCACAGATGCGTGGCTGCGCGCACGTTGTCTTCACATCCGACGTCTCGAAGGGTGGCCGACCGATGACCATGGTGTAGATGATGACACCCAGCGACCAAATATCGACCTTTCACACATGTCTGCGACCAGTTTGGACATGGCTCCAACATGCTTCGAAACAACCCAGCCTCAAACGAGTGCCCATGCTTGCCTTCCAAGATTTCAGGTGCAATGTAGTTCGGAGTGCCTGCCAACGCATTGCCAAAAGTGGTGAACTTCGTGACTTCATGGCTGGATCATGACGGACACGGGTGACCGGTGGCAAAGAGGCGTATTCTCCAGTTGTCAGACCAGCTGCCACAGATGGTCCGCTTCCTCTCTCCATCGTATTCGAGCTGTGCCGCTAGGCCAAAGTCACCCACCTGCCGCTCAGCTGATCATGCTCTCTTAGGACAGTGCCTCGGATGGAGTGAATTCAGCTGGCCTTCAATCGCATGGAGTGGTCAAGGAATAGATTGCCCAGCCTGAGTCCATGATTTTTTCGCTCTACTCATATCGAGCCATCCAGCTGTTCACACGCTCTATCTAAAGCATAAGCGGGCCCCAGACTTCAAATCCCTGTGAATGACTCGTCGACGATGCAGATACTGCAAAGCGAGGACGAGCTCGTAGACGTAAAAAATCGCCTGGTGCAGCTAAGTGGTGCATTGCTGCGAACATCGAGGTCACCCGGCCTCTGGTTCTGCAAGCCGTTTAGGGGGACGGCGCCTCATGAATTCGTTCAGAGTCTGGTTTGCACCTTGGCGAGAGCTCTGAGAATCACGCACGACATCAGCAGTTGAGCGTTTCGCAGAGTCTCAGATCTGCACAGAGCTCCAGCATGATGTAAACGTGGTCGGCGTCCTGCAGAGCTGCTGCTGCTGCATCTTGTTCGAAGCTCGACAGATCCCCCATCCGTCCTCGAAGTAGTCGTAGAACTTGACAACCTGCCAGGGCGACCACAGGGTTTGCAGGTCTGCAGTTTGCATAGCGAAAACGGCAGCGCCTTGTCATGGCAAAGCTCCCGATGTATTGCAATCTCTGACCTGGACGCTACTTGCTCTACAGCCTTCTGTCGTCAGAGCGATATGCCGATTTCTCCTCGTTGTGGCTTGTCGCGCATTCTTGGCCATAGTTACTTTGATTTCTTTGGCTTCGCTCACCACATTAAAGAAGCCATCCACAGACAGGGAGAAGCATCACCAAAACCTTTTGTCAGCATCCGGTGGCAGTGTCGCTCCTCCAGGCGGCCGGACTCCAGAATGCTGAAGCAACTGAAGGGCAGGCGATGCTTTCCCACCAACAATCTCGACAAAAAAAAGTTGGAACTTCCCCCCTGATTCTCGTTGGATGCGCATCCACTCTGGATGGCAGTGCAGGTTAAAACATGTTCTTTTGCAACAAGCATGGGTACCTTCGCGTCAGTCATGTGCAGAATGCTGTCGCGGGCAGTGTCATCGCGTGGCTTCAAACACCAATTCGTAACGATGGGACTTAAAGGAGGCAGCATCGGAGTTCCGCTCTACCTCGGCTCTCAGTAGAAAGGGAGCCTATATTATCACAATAACAGACTTCATAAAGCTGGCCGTGCGTGCGAGTCAAGGGCCAGCTGAGCGAAGCAGCTGCCAAGTGTTAGCAGACAGGTCCCCACCCAACAACTAGTCTTGCCCATCTTCAGATCCTGCACATGTGTGCCCATGGTTGTGAGTGGCGGTGGCTATGATGCCGCTGCTGCTGCCGCTGCTGCTGCTGGTGTTGGTGTTGGTGCTGGTCTTGGTGTTTCGCGTTGGTGTTGGCTTTGGTGTTGTTGGTGTTGTGGGTGTTGTTGGCAATTGGCGCGTTTGCCGCCACGAAGACTTCAGGGCTGCAATGTGCTAAAACTCGAGTATGGCACATGGCAGTTCAGACAAAACAACTGCGCAAAACAAAAACGTTCGACTTCAGGGTTGCACTGTGCCAAAACTCGAGTTTTCGCATGTGGCAGTTTGGACTTGTACCGGTATTTACGGCCATCCGTGGCTTCTCCGTTTCCGCTTTTTGATTGCCAGCGGCTGCTTTGTTCTTTGGACTTGCTGTGTCTGTGTTTCTTTTTGCTCCGTGCAGGGGTGGTGGGGGGGGGGCTGATAACGTCCATGCGAATGCCGCATGCATCTAGTGTTCCTCTTGTTGCAGAGACATCGTAAATACCGTGATTTTCGTTGTGTTTTACCAAGAACCCCGCAGCTCCGGATTCAAAGCTGTATTCCTAAAGCAGGCTGCCTTGACCGTGATGACGATGGTGATGATGATCATGATGATGCTGATGTCTGATGATCATGATGTTGATGCACCTGATTGCGATAATGTTGGCAAGTATGATGATTGTGACGATAATGATGTTCATGTCGTTGAGTGTTCATGCACAGGATATCGATGGCGATGACGATTACCATGATGATAATAATGACAAAGGCACGGACAATCTCACTCCGTGTTGCGGCTGTTTTCCTGTTACTTGTCAGACACTCCCACCACAAGAGTCTCGCGTTTTGTGGGCGTCGGCGTTCCAAACAAAACTTTAAACATGAACGCAACACTCGAGCAACCAAAAACCATGAACACTACGTTACTTACGACGCGTCCGCAAGAAAAAACACACTAAACAAAAATAACAACAAACATGGACACACGAAGGGACAAAAACATCGTCTTCTTCACGGAAACCACACACAATCTTCTTCACGGAAACCACGTAAAAGTCAAGGAAGCCAGGCTTTTGACAAACACCTCCTCAAACAAAGAACGACCCACCCTTCGTGGCGGCAAAAGCGCCAATTGCCTTGTTGTTGTTGTTGTTGTTGCTGCTGGTGTTGTTGTTGTTGTTTTTGTTG